ATAAGTTGAAAGACGAGTTTTTGTCACATTACGAAATAATAAAAATATTTAACAGACTATTTACTGAATTCATTATTAATAAGCGATATGTCACCGCTGCGAGAAATCAACAGAAATGTCTGAGCAAACTTTGTAGTGTTACGTATTCTGATTATTACATAATCTAGTTTTCGGTAATTGTGGACGCCCAATCAACCACCAGGTCATGCGACGAGGCCGCCCGCTCCGTTGGCATTTACCTATGTTTGGATTATGTGATCGTATGTGGCACAGATAAACCAAAACCAATACGGCCTTGTATAATCTATTTCTGTGTTAATTCGCCGCGGTGACAGGTTATTTTTTTTTTTAATTATATTAAAATTCAAGGCTACTGTACTATATTAACGGCTTAGATTAACGGATGCTCATCACACATCTTTCTTATAATATAGATCAAAAAGATTTTTATATAATTAACAAAAACTGTAGACGATAGCTCAATAAAGATTGGCATACAGTTATTATTATAAATATGTTTCAGATATTATTTTAAGTGGACATCTAAATAAACAGACGTAAAATACACTTGTATTAATTTCATTGTATTCATACGCAATTTGCGACTATCCAACAAACAAGTGACATTACTCAAAAACAAAAACATTATCGGGAAAGTAGCGAAAAAATCTTTAATCCCTATTCAATTAAAGGTTTATTGGCGATATCTTAATGATAATAATAAATTGTATTTTGCCACTTAGTCCTATTGGCCGTATGGTTCCTGCATAGAATCGGCCACCTCTTCTTTTCCCGTGGATGTCATAAGAGGCAACTAAAGAAGGCCGAGGAATGGGCAATAGCGTCCCTCTTAAAGCATTTCTAAAGCCTAACTCCGTTTGCCAACTCGACTGCCAAGAGTGGCAACTACTGGCAAAACACCTGTAAAGGGGCAGCTTATGTTCAGCAGTGGACAGTTAAAGGCTGTTATGATGATGATAATGATGAGTTAGTCCTATTATAAACTCTATCCTTATTAATATTATAAATGTAAAACTACGTTAGATTGTTTGTGTTACCTATTGGCGGCTTAATGCTTAATGCTTCGACCAATCATCATGAAATTTAATAACATATACACACACTATATGGAATGATGTTATTTTTATTCCGATCAGTATACATATCCCATGCGGACGAAGTCGCAGCTAAAAATTAGTCATAATGTAAAACGATTGGTTGATTAACAATTGCTTAAAAAAATTTGTTCAGTTACATGAATGAGTTTCGATATCCGTATATCGATTTCGACTAACCTTGTATATTTAGGTACGCTAGATACCTATTAGTTTCCCAACATTTAGAAATCTTTAATTTATTCATTGTAATTTTCGCCGGACCAATGCACAACGTGGACTTGCATATTGGGCAAATATTGCAGAGCAATCAATTGCGTATTATGTGCTAGTTGCATGCATTCGATACGCTGATGCATCGCATATTATGTCACTTGCCTAATTACCGTATCAGTAATTTAACATTTACAATTCGTGAGAACAAACTAAATTTATTAAATAAAATACAAGGTACAATATATACTATATTACTCGATAATAATATATGTATATCTAGACATATAGATAAATTATTTTTCAAATAATAAGTTCAGTATTTCTTTAGTTTATCCATTACAAAAAAAAATTCCTCTTTACAATATTAGTTTATATAATTTAAAAATTATAAGAAGATAACATCTGTTCTAACAAAAGATTCATTAACAATCATATTTATAGTAATTTACGCATTATCCTTGTATGTAACTATGTAATAACATACCATATCAGCTCACCATCGTTAACTGTCCATTGCTGAACACAGGCCTCCCCCTTAGAGGATTTCGCCAGTAGTTGGCACGCTTGGCAGGCGGATTGGCAACTGTATTAAGGCCTTGGAGATGTTTTAATAGGAACGCTGCTGCTTATCACTCGATTATTAAGTACACTTAATAGTCTCTTACGACACCCACGTGGAAGGGGTGGCCCATTCTATGCTGCGACCACACAGTTAACTGTAACTTTATTATAATACAATGTAATAACACCCGTTATTTTCTAAGATTTCATAAAAGGAGACTGACCATGCATTCTAGGGAAACAAAACACTATGCAGGCATTCATAGGCTACGGTAATCGCTTACCATCAGGTGGGCCGTATGTTTGTTTGTCACCTCAGTGGTATAAAAAAAACTATGCACCATCCTATATTCTGTTCTCAAGTGGCTTGACACTTGACCAGCTTATAATAAAACCAGTTTAGTGTTATATTATCTGTGGTAGTAGGCTAATATCCTCTTCTAATGGAGGACGTCCCAAGCCCAATAATAGTATGTTAATGGTTTGTTATAGATATAGAATGTATATTGACACATACCATAAATAGATTGACCACAAAATAGATATACTATGTTTGCTGATAAAAAAAAAACATAGTACTCGTATTTAGGTATATGCCAACTTATTCTCATTGATTTAATATTGTTTATTTAATTAAATTTCAATATAAATTAATATCACTTTCTTCCACGCACAACCATTCTTTGGAATCAACTTCCAGCAGCAGTATTTCCGAACCGATACGACAACATAACCTTCAAGAAAAGAGTATATTCCTTTTTAAAAGGCCGGCAGCACACCTGCAATGCCGCTGGTGTTGTGGGTGATCATGGGCGGCGGTAGTCACCTACCATCAGGTGAGCCGCATGCTCGTTTGCCCCCTGTGTTGTAAAAAAAAATATCATAAAAAGAAAAAAATATTTGTTTGTACTTGATAAACGCAAAAATATGTTTACCGGTTTTAAATTTTTTTTTCATCTGTCTAAAACTGCATTTTCAGCAAGTAACATAGGCAGTATTTTATTTAAAAAAAAAACTGTGCGAACCCTTGACCGGTCGCTAGTATTAAATATGAATAATTATCGAATATTTAATTATAAAATGATCGATTTAAAATGTTTCATAATTATTGTAATATACAAACAACGTGTCATTACCCGATTAAGTAAATGACACGACCTTATGTTTTATGTAATTCAAATCAGCATAATTTCAATGAATTTAAGTTTGTAATTAAACTCGCTATATATGTATACAAATATAAGCAATTATACGCTCTGTTTGTCTTGCCTAAAAAGTTGTCGTGTTACAGCGGTCGGGATTTATAAACCAGTATGTATGTACTATGTAATTAGTTATAATATGCGCAATTACCGACTAACGACTCTATTGAATCTAAATGTTGATTATACTGAATTTATTAGTTAGTTGTGTAATGTACTACAGTCATGTACATACATATCTATGGCTATAATGTATTTCTTGACAAATATACGTAGGAGACTGGCTCCTTAATTACGTATCTTGCAATCAGTTCACGATAACCAAAAATTACACAATAATTGCTAATTTTTTCATCTATGGACAATGATATCCACTTACGGTCATCTGACCGTAAGTGCATGCTCGTATGGTCTCTATGTCATGGAACATCTCTATGTAATACATCTATATTCAGTCATCTATTTTTCATTGTTACCAACGAACTTTTCACACTTTCTTCAAGTCAGGTTTCTCATTAGGTAAGTAAAATTAATCGAGAACTACAGGCTTTATTCATCTTTATATATATTTACTGCTTCATTCGATTTCATAAGTCGTCTCAAGTATAGACACACAACGTTTCCGGAGAATTTGAATACCCTCCCTCACACTCTCTTACACACCATCTCATCATTATTATTAAAAATTCATTATCAATCCAGCAGTTTTAGCTATGGATCTATTCAATCTGTCATTAATCGCTTAAATAACAGTCAAAATATTCTGTTGTCAGAAACATTTTTATTTGCTATTTCGTTCTATTTCATGTGTTTTTTACAATTACCATGCAATTTATTGAATATATATATATATATATATATATATATATATATATATATATTATATGTATATATTATATCTCCAAAATTTTAAATAAGAATATATCTACCTATTTACTGATAATTATAAAGTAATTTATTATATATCTATTAATTGTTAATACTCCAAGTAACTATAATTAAAACAAACTCGTTTGCCAAGTATTCATCTAAACTGGGATATATACATAACACCCCAATTTAACGGTCAACTGAACAATATGTAAACTGGACATCAATAATCATATCCTAATCAAAGCACATTCTCTATATTAAGCAATGATTCACAATTCTATTGACGTTCAAACCATAAAAACTCGAGTTATGAACACATAGTATACGTAGGTACGTTAAATTATGAGGTTCTCGATCTTCATGTATAATTTATTTATTAATAGATACTAAAATATCCATGCAACATTTATTTTTAACAGAAGATGTTTGTAATAATTATGTTAGAATTTTTTGTGACCGTACCTACCTGTTAGGTCAAACTGCATGCGGTCTCCCCTGGAAATTATCGTAGTTAATTTCTATCGAATTTCTTAATTTGGACCACTTGGCCTCATTTCATTCTCAGGTATCTTCTCTTGCTGATATTAACCTATAATTTATCCATTAAATAAACTATTATTATAAATTTGGCATATACATAGTATTGGATATAGAGGAAAGCATATTAGCTATTTTTTATCCCGGTCACGTAAACTAAATGGTGCGTACATCTAGTTACAAAAATTATATAGTTATAGAAATAACAAAAAATATCAATAAATAGAATAGAACTCATTACTCAAAAAATTTATATGCTCTTTTAAATCGTAATTTTTTTATAATTGTACTACTGGGTTCGGGATGTAGGTATCTGCTGTGAAGAATCCGCCTGAATCTCAGCAGTTTTACAATTTAAAGAAAATTTTACATTTATGCATATAAAAGCCCACAGGCCTTTGAATATCCAAATCAAGCACAATGATCGACTAATACCAAGCACTATTACTAATTACATCTACTCATGTTTTACTCATAATATCTTTTCTTGTTTCAGATTCTGATGGTGCTATCACTCGTTGGTTGTACAGCGTAAAATGTAAAATCCGAACAAATCGATCGAGCTAACTGTGAATTGAAATTGTGTTATAATAACTGTCGACAAATCGTGCATAGTGGTTTTCGCGTCATAACCAAAAACTGGGATAATTACAGTGAAGTGTATTGAAACACGGATATTGGACCGTGCTCATCAATTTGGCGGTATAGCCTTGGTGAGTTACATTTTATTCTTTTTACTGTTGTTTTTTTTAATTCAACCAGTTGTTGTGGGTTAACTAACATAAAAACCGTCTATAATTATAAATATATGTATCGAAATAAAATGTAACCTAAGAGAAATAACACTAGGGGAAGGTGTTATTTGTAACTTGAACAAACTAATGCGATTGAATCCTGATGAATTTGTCTCATTGGAGCAAGTAATTCGACCTGTAGATACTTCACAAGCGTAATACAATAGCACAGACAAGATACCATTCCTTTTTCATCCGTAAAAAAACCTAATAATATTTGACAAAATTATTTGGACCTTAAATGGACAAGGTCGCGCCAAAATATAAAAATAAGCAGAAATACTACGCTTATACAAGCAGCCTTTTGTATTTAAAATCCAAATTCAAATCTCCTCTTTTATTATTTGCAGTTTAACCTTTACACTTGATTAAAAACATAATATTAAAACAAAAATATTAAATATGATATGAACATATTTAATAAATTTTTTAGTTAACCTCAAACATTGATGTTTTTAAATATTATTTTGTTAATAATAGATAGCATCTGTCTGTGTAAAAGATTTGCGAATAGTTCGTTTCATAATTTTGCATAATGACATTATGTCATAGCTTATTGAAGTCTTAAATTGTATAAAATAAATTCACGCTCGATTCAATGAAATGGACTTAAATCAGTAAACAAATTGCGCATCCCTAATTTGTTACAAAGACATACTTTCTATGTTATTTGTCGTGTTGTCTCACATAATTAATGGCATGTTATTGAGCAAGCTTTCTTTTTAAAACCTATGATCAAAATGGGCTTCAGTGTCATCTTATTAATTGTACAGGTTTTTGTATTTTGTATGTGTCGTAATAAAGACAACCACAAAGACACTTACTAGTTCCATATTTGTTTTATCACTAGCTATATCCCACGGTTACGCCCGTCAAAACATAAAGTAAGTAGTAGGTGTGCTAAATTAAGATATAACGTACCCGTGTATCAAATTTTTCTATTTATTGTATAAATAATGGTTATTATATTATTAGTAATGTTTGGAATCATTTTTAGAGTGTTTTCAATTTATCGATATTTTGTGTCTGCGTGTGTATTTTATGCGATATTTTCGCTACTTCTAGATCAATTTTAATAACTTTTTAGATTCGATATTGTATATTTCTACGTTGATCCTATATTAATATTATCACGATTGAGCAACTAATCTTCGCAAAGAAAAATACAACTTAATGCGGAGCTAAATCTACTTGTACCACACGATGTCACGGAATTAATTAAATTAAAATCGAATGCATCATATATATGACATTTCCTTGTCTATAGTTGCGTCGTATTCGTTTTAAAATATGTTAATAGTGATATATTTTTTTTGTCATCTTTGAAGTTCCTGGTTTTTTTTGATGTGCAAATTTTACTTACTTATTTAGTGTAACAAAATCTTAAATTATTGTTACATTACATTCTATTCTTTGATGACATATCCATAGGTAGTAATTATCCAATTTATCATCATCATCATCATATCAGCCGTTAACTGTCTGCTGCTGAACATCTCCTCCTCCTGATGTACCTTCTTGGGTTGCCAGATCGATTCTAGAATCTATCTTCTAGATTTCTTCTATGAAATTCTAGAATTTCATATAATTATCACCTTATCTATAATAGAGTGATCATCTCCAAAGACTAATATCAATGCTTGCACAATTTATAGCAAAAGAAATGACCTCGAATCGCACATTGACATTTAGATAAGTGGCAAAACTACAATGATTTCAAAATAATAACACAATAATCACACAATCAAATTGTTTGCTCATTATATGTAATATACGAAACTCGCTTCTGTACAAACATGAATATCACATCCAAATATTTATGTAATGTATTTTTTCGTATACATATGTTAAGTATATATATATATACACACTTGCAGTTATATAATACGCTGTTATTGTAAAAAATAAGGAAACGATGAGGCGCTTATACTCACGAGGTACGAATGAAGCTTTTTTTATAAAAAAAAAAGAAACCTTAAAAACGTAATCAGCATCGCTTATTTTATTTACATCAAAAAAAATTCTTTACCGACAAAATTAGGTACACCTTGAACTTAACATGTGTTGCTAATTATAAACATCTGTAATATATATTACATGCAAATTTTAGATTATTTTTTCAACCGTCTTTAAATGGAGTAATTTCTCAATTCAACTACACATACTTTTATCCGACAGTATTGTTGCAGAGTTTTTCAAATCTTTGGTTCTAAGGTGCAATGTATATAAGTAAATTACTTGATAGACTTTATTATAATTGAGATATTATAATGAGTACGATTTTTAATTAAACAAAGAATTTGTTTCATTTATTGAGTATTTTTACTATATTCTTAAATTAGTTGTGTATATATGTTATGTATATTAAAGATAATTTTAAAAATATTTATATTCAGCCAGCGCTATATGTACTTGCGTAAATATTAAAAAAAATTAAATAAAGTCCAAAAAATAATGGTATTAAGTTTTTTTTTAACGATGGCGCTGTCATGGTGATGGGGCTGTTCCGGTGTTTCCGCCGTCGGATGTTATTAGTGCCCTTGGTCACACAATTATGGTACAATAGTCAAGGTCATGAACATATGACAGACGTGATAGTCCACTATACTAGTACAGGTGACACTCGTTTCCAGTCTAGTCAGTATAGGCACAGATATATAATTACTGTTTCAATTGCTTGTAGGTAAGACGGTCAAAATGTTAAATATAGTTTTGTAACGTCCTCATTATCTGTCTTTTTTTTAATAATCAAACAATTTTTAAGGAGTTTTGGAAAGGAGGAGATTCTGAATTCACTTGTATGTTTTTTTGTGTTTTATTTACATTTTTTTATCTATTTATTTATTTATTGCAGAAACCGTATTTTTTGGGTTTAATAATGTTGGTAGATGACAATTTTATTCTAATTTACAAATCCTATTCAATGTCTTCGCTAATTCTGCATGATGTTCAATCCTTTTGCTCAATCAATTGATAGAATTCAGATACATCCTTATTAGTTTCGTATTATTTTTGTCACGATTGAGGCCAGCGTCTTTTTTTTTATTTTCAACCAGGATTTTCTTCCATATTTGTTAATACACGTGTCCGCATTCTAAATTCAAATATTTGATTGTCTTTATTCTTTACATCTCATCCTAGCTATTATTTTAGACTTATTTATAACAGAGAGTATTTATAATAGATTTAAATTGTGTGTTAAATGTTTAATAAAAGGATCCGCATACTAGCTCCATAGAGTTTCAATTTATTTAATTATAAACTCAACCAGATAGTACTAATATTATATTCTTAAAAGACTTTTAAAATGTTCGTCTACTGAACTATTTAGGATATTGAGTCACGTTTGCGTCATCTATTTATAATAAATTTATTTATCTAAGAATGACTCATATTCAAAGATATAATCGTGAAATAATTTTGAGTACCTCTGTGTTTAAACTAATGGACACTGACCTCAAGGCGCTACAACCTATTATAGTTTTCTCATAATTATAACGCAAATAAATTGCCACTGAGTATTTTAAAATTAATTCCCACCTACATTGTAACAGATCTTTTTGCGTAGCGTACTATTTTATTAAAAAAATAACGCATTCAATATTATATGACTAGAATTAAAGCAACAAGGTATAGTTTGGTATATTATAAACTTTAGTATTTCATTTTAGACTACTGTCATATATAGTCATTTAGTGCTAGTAAAGTTAGGTGTACATCTGTTTCTTTTAAACCTTTTATAGAGTACAGAAACATAACATCTTAGTCCTTAGGAATAGCAAGCCATGGGAGGTATCATAGACAAAAGAGTATACTCTGTTATTTTCATGGTATTGCTCATGTTTGTAGGTTACGGTTACCATTTTCTATCAGGTGGGCCATCAGTTAGTTTGCCATTCTAAGCTCTATAAAAAAATTATTATTATATAATAATTAGGACGAAACAAGTAAATACGTAGCTTACTTGCACAGCATATTATAATATTTCCTCGATTTATTATACAAGATTATACAAGAACTGTCTCATTCCTATGTATTAAAAGAGTACATAAGAATACAGAGTATATGTACAGTTTCTTGGATATTTTTCCACCAGAATTCAACTTTTGCGTATAATTTTACATTTATTTTCTTCACCTCTATAAATAGTATAAAACAAAATTGTTTTCCTCGTTTGTTTTTTCTTCGCTTACTTATTTCAAACACAACGAATTTTGTTACGAGTTTCACTGATATTTTGACATTTCTTACCGAGGGTACATATATAAAAGACATACTAAATAAACTTTTGTATAAGTACATAATAATTGCACTTATATGAAGTCAGGGGAAGTAGCTATTATAGTTTAAATGTGAAAGTAAGTTTGTTTCTTACCTACCATTTAGCACTTACCGGCTCTACCAAATGTCTTGAAAAAAACACGTGGTATTTAATATAGAGAAAGATAGGCTGGTTTTTATACCGGTAAACAATATACTTTGTTGGTTGGTTGGTTTGTTATTGAGTTGGAAACTAGTCGAGCATTTTCGAATTTCAAAACTTAAGCGTTTATATTGAATCATTAAAAAATATACATTCAAATGCTATTTCATCTTTGTTTTCTTAGCAGGCTATTATAAATTTAAGGCTCTTCCCGAGGACATAGACCCCGGTGGAAAGCCTGTCGACCCACATCCAAGCCAAAGAACTTGTTTCTTTACATAATGCCCACTCTCTCGCTTCCACGTATTGATATTTCTGAATTACAGTATATTTCCAGATTCGCCAAAGAATGTACTCATATTACGTAAATGTGAAAGGACCAAATTTTATTTTACGACATTACCTTCTTATTAAGCAGACTATAGGTACTTATTTAAACATCTTGACTCTAAACACTAAATATAGAATCCGACAAAAAGAATACACAATATTTAGT